GGGAGGAGGGCGGCATCGCCCCCGTCACTGGGGCTGGGATGCACTGAGGCCCGTCCTCAGCGCCCAGGCGGGGCCGGGCTGCCCGGCGACCCTGGCTATCGCCACCCGCCGCGTCCCACAGGTGTACAGGCGAGGCCTGTTGGAGGTCTGCCTCCGGTGCCAGGCCTGGCGGCGAAAAAAAAAGGGTCCCAAGCCTGGTTTGGTTTTAAACAAACATGGGTGGTGCCCAACCGTGGTGTGATCGAGCCGCCCGCCGCGGTCCTGCAGGAGTCGGGCAGGGGCAGGTTCTGAGGTGACACTGCAAGGAGGGCAGAGCACTAAGCAAACAAGAAAGCCCTGGAATGATGGCAGTAGCCGAGGGCAGAAGACAGGTCTTATTTTTCTCCTGCTTCACCAGTTTCCTAGGCTTCAGGGTTTGGCAGCATTTTGTGTGACATTAAATCCTTTGTTCGTACTCCTTCCGGACTCGCGAAGGTGTGGGCGAGTTACGATGGTGCTGGTCAGGGTCTGAAAGTAGGTAGTGAACAATGAGCAACAGTTCCCTACAGGATCAGAGGGGACAGGGGGGCTGTAGGTCCTCAAGCGTACTCAAAAGAGAGTTCTAAAGGTCAGTAGCTATAAACACACATAAATATAATAGTAACAGGCTACTTTTATACCTTAATCTGATGTATATCAATCTGCAATTCAGTTTGATAGTGTTCTTTTCAGATGAAGTACTTCTCCTGTGGTTATAACCCCTTTTTGAATGGATTAGGAGAATCAAGGGTTTTCCATAAAAGCTTAAGCTTAATAGAAACTGGATCAAAACTGGAGCAAGCCTGCAGTTCCAACTCCAGCTACTTTGTTGAAGATGTAGATGTTAGAAATGGCATCTTCTTTGTGTCACAGATTTAGCTGCACTTGTCTGCTGCAACGATGGACAGTGAAGTGCAAAGGGATGGCAGAATCCTGGATTTGATTGACGACGCCTGGAGAGAAGATAAGTTGCCATACGAGGATGTTGCTATCCCTCTGGTAGGTGAATTGTTACTTAAGAATTTGATTTAAGACTGGTGTGTTTATCACAGTCCCTTCCAAGAAACAACACAGAGAGTATTGCTTGTGTTGCAGCTTATTTGTACAAAAAGTTCCTGAGACGGATCTGATATGCTCCTTCCTTGTCCTGTACACCAGTTATTCCTGTGTGCATATGAGAACATGGATATTTCTCTTCCCCTGACCAGTTGCCTAATCCCCTGGGAACCAGAGTGCCGTTCCCATTGCACAATTCTGGGTTTAGCATCAGGGAGAAGTAGAATCATTCTCTCCTTCGGCTTCCCCTTCATGTTAATAGTGTTTGAAGTTGGTGTGTACAATGGAGAGGATCAGTCTTATACTGACAGTTGCAGTCTTGGTTACACTTTATTTCCACTTTCTGAAATTCTCTTAAAAGAAGCTGAAAATTTTTCAAACATCTTCCTAATCAGTCTTTTCCAGATACAGTGTTACTGTTGCCAAGGATAGTAGTGAACAAACTGGCACCTGCAGCAGGACTCCTGCTTGCAGTGCTGCATCCAAGACATGGCAGCTGTCTTTTCATTCAGCATGCAGTTGCCAGGCCAGAGAGGTGCAGCTGGGGAAAAGCTACCTCTGATCCCACAAAGCCCAGAGCTGAAGCTTCAGTTCTCCCACACTGATGCACTTCCTTAGCCATTTTGAAACTACCAGGGAAGTGAGGTACCTGAGGATTTTCTCTTTCCTTGTTCTCTCTGGTACACAAGCTTTACCCTAGCTAGCACTGACGAAGTTTCTTTTAGTACAGAGACATTTCCAAATTGCCAGTGACATGGCTCAAGCTTTAGCCCGTAGACCCTTTTCAGAGAGGGCAAGGAGCAACTACACACCTCCAGAATCTTTACATACCACACAGAGGTTTTCCTGCCAAGATTTGGGCTTGAGGGAATGATCTTGCAGAACTGTGATTCTCAAATATGAGAGCCCAAAACACCCTGTGCTTGGGATAATCCTTATTAGGCAGGCTGAATATTATAAACTTGTTCCTTGCTGACATTTGCTTTCACCCTGTGTCCAGTCATTACTGTTTCTTTCCTTACAGCCATCTCTTGAGCTACCTACAGTCACGTACAGATGGCAGCCTCAGAGGAGGAAGCCTCATCAACACAATAGAAAGAAAGGCCTGGCAGTGGATATAAAGATCCCCAGGGATGGGATTTGCTCTGATCACATAGAAAAACCAGCACAAATTCAAAGGAGACTTACTCAGCGGCACTGCAAAGGAGCAAACAGAATGGCTGTAAAGTGGTATTTGAGCCTGCCTTGAGCATCTGATCCAGTGCTCACTAAAGAGATGCCTATGAACTCAAATGGGCACAAATCATATGCTGTTTTCAAAACTGAAAGAAATTACTTAGCTCATGCTGGCATTTCCAGAGACCTAGAACTCAGAATTCTTGCCTGAATAGTATCTGGCAGAATAACACGCGCTCTGTGTGATGGCACCAATACAGCAACACAGAGAACAAATAATATAGGGAAGGAAAATGAAATCTCAGTTAAACTACGCTTCCTCCTTACTGTGTCCTGAGCAGCAATGTGTTGCACCTGGTAGGGGTTCCTGGTTTCTAGTGTTGATACAGCACAGCCACACCCAAGTTCGGCACGTAGAAGGGCAAAGGATTTCCCAGCTGCCATAGGAAAGTAATGTGTTACAGAACCAGTTGTCTTAATATCAGCTGTAATAAACGCAGTATCTGTATTCTTGGCAATAGCAACAGTGCAAGCAAGCAGTGGAATAATTGCATCATACTATTATTTACTTATTTTGCATTTGCTATAAATTATCCTTCACTGCATGTGGAGTCTGAATGAATAGCAAGGCCCCAGGATCCTGAAAAAACAATTTACCTCTCATATTAAGCACCATATTCATGTGAAAATTGTTCATAACTGGGCTTAGTAATATTTTTAAGTGGATGAGTATGTATGATATGTATTGTTCAGATGCACCCGTTGGTCTTGTATGTGGATTTTTGTATTTATCCATATGAAGCCTTAGTAACCTGCTCCTTTCGGGAAGCACATTACGTATGTACCTCTGTTCTGTTCTCAGAATGAGCTTCCTGAGCCAGAGCAAGACAATGGTGGCACAACCGAGTCTGTGAAAGAGCAAGAAATGAAGTGGACAGATTTGGCTCTCCAGTATCTCCATGAAAATGTTCCACCCACGGGAAACTAGTAGATGCATGAATGCAATATAAAACATAATTTTCAGCTGACCATCACTGTCATAAGCTTCTGTAAGAAGGAACCAATGCTTCTGAAACAGGCTCAGATTGAAACAGTGGTTCTACTCACAGTGACCAAACACAGCGTAAAATGCTTCTACAATGATTGTGAAATGACAATTGCTGTCTGACACCTCAGAGCTAATATTAGAATGTTTCTCTTACATAAAATTATTTCATGTCTTACGTTAAATTGTTTGTGTCACTTCTGATCTTAAATGTTCTGTATGTGATAAAAGAAGTAGGTTTTACTCTCTCAAATTGCTAACTGATGACAAAGCTCACAATGGGATCATTTCTGACTTGGAAGGCTTATACCCAAGGAAGTATTCGTGAGTATTCTATGGTTAAGAGTTCAGCATACAAAAACCAAATAGCTAAGTCAGTTGTTACAATCTTCCCCTAGTGTGTGGCTGAGGAAGGTTGCCTGTGGCAGGCATGAAGGATTGGTCAACAGGATTCAGGAGCTGGAAGTCATCTGTAAACACAGGTGGTTATTTGAACTCCTCATCGCAGAATTTGGTGGTGGTGGTGGACACCATTTCCAGTGCAGACATCCTGGGTATGTTTGCCAGTACACGCACTGCAAACCGTCCATCCAATTTATGCTGAAATGGCAATTACTCAAAGTCATTGTCTTTTGAGGGACGATTGAGAGTTAAAGGGAACAACGTGTCAGTCCCAGTGTACAACCTGTGGAGCTGATAGCCACTTGGGTGAGTTATCTCAGATGGGAAATGAAAATCTGAGGAAAGTGATGGGGAAAAGAAGCAAGTGGGACTTAGCTTCAGGCAATAAACTGTTACTTCTTGTGCTGAAAAGAAGAGCCCACTTAATTTCTTTATCTCGTTTCATCTCTGATTCTCAAATGTCTTTTGCAATAGGTAAAAGCCATCTGTTCATCTTGCATGTTTCACTGTTGGACCAGTTCCTTCACACCGTTGGCAGAACTTTCTAAGGAGAAAATATTTTGACAGAGTTTAGGAGTACTGGTAGAGGTGAGAAGGAAACTGGAAGAAAAACAATGTTTCAGATGATTTTGTTTTGCCAGTGCATAAGAAAAAGCACTTTCCTGAATCTTGCAGCTTCCAGACTGCACAGAAATTTTTGTGTGTCACTTCTTAATGTTTATCCTATTCAAAATAACAAAAACTAACTTTTGCCTGTTTAATTACCAATGGAATCACAGCACGGCACATGTCCTGTGAGACAGCAATTGCTGAGCTGTGTGAGGATAGAGAACTCAAAGTGCTTGTGAAAAAATCGTGTGTGTTGCTGAGAGCACGCCTCTGTCTGAGGTGCAATCCATGCCTGTGCCAGACAAACAGCACACACTTGTCTGAACAAGAAGGAGCTGCAGACAGCCAGCAGGCAGCATTAAGGATTAACCCAAGAATTAGCAAAGTCAAAAGGGTTAATATGTACAGCATGGACCAAAGAAACAGCTATGCAGCTGGGAACCGTTGGATCATCACCGGGGGAAAAAACAAAGCCTTTGCTTAATGAGGTGTTGCTGATCCTCCCCATGTTTTCTTTCCTTGGCCTACCTTAGAAGAATTGGCTAAGAAAACATTAGGCAAAGCTACCACACAGCATGTATCCAGCAGCCATCCCTGCTTTCTCTACCACTCCCCCTTAGCAAACTCCCCACCACCCTCATCTTTCCAATTTTGCCAACAGATCTTCCAGCTCCAGTTTCAGACTTCCTTTCTTGCCCCTGACAGTTGTCTTTGCATCTGTCATCTTCTTCCTCCCATGCAGCAGGGGAGAAAAAGCCTTTCTTACTCAAATTTGGATTCATGAGGTTCCAGCAGGTCTGCAAGAAAATGTGGTGAGGATGCCCGATGTACGAATGTCATCCAAGACAGCAGTTGCTTGGCAGCTCCATGGAGACCCAGACTGACTCAAGCTGGTACCTTCCCTTTGTCATGACACAGTGCTGTACGTCTGCCTCCTGCCCGCAGTGATGGGGTCTCCTAGGTCAGAAGGGATGCTGGGCCACAGTGCGCAGAGCCAGAGGGACACGGGATAGTAGGGAGTGTCATGAACGCAACAAACACAGGGCCCTGTGAAACCAAGTGCTGGCCCGGCCCAGATGCTTATCATTCTTGCAGTGACACCTACGATCTTCCTTGCCTTTGACATTCTTTGCAGAAGACAAACAGACATGCAATCATTTCCTTAGTTTCAACACATACAGTCAAATTGGTGCTTACAGCGTGATGACAAACCATTCGTGTCCGATTAGTCATTCCCCAGGGCAAACTATATTTAAAATAGGGAAACCTGGTAGAATAGAAGGTGCCCCACCTTTTTAAGAAGCAGCTTTAGTTGTATAACGAAAGACTGGTCTTCATTTCTTGGCTGGTAACTTCCTTCTTTTACCACACCTAGTGTTACCAGCAAAAAAAGAGACAGCGAACTGTTGTCAGAGACGCAGACACATGCTAAAGAAAGTGTGGGATCCTTAAAATCTTTTACCTGTGTTAAGTTCTATGTGGAAGTCCATATGCTGAGGCTGTGTGTCGTGTTCATCTACCTTTTGTGTGGGGTGATAACAGGTAAGAAATTAACTGTTCATTTTGAATGTTTTTGTCAAATATAACATGCTTCCTTTCTTTGCAGAAACATGAATATATCTACCCTCTGCATTATAGTTACTGCACAGGGCTTCTCACTAGCATTATTTGTTTTGGCAAAGCAAATTATACTGGTTACATGAATGCTGTCAGCTCTAAGAGTTCCAAATATAAAAACAGCAGTCATTTTTATTATCTTTTCCTCACTTTGCAAACATTTCTCTTATATAAGTCCTATCCATCAACACTGAAAATGTCATTGGAAATCTTCAGAGAAAGATGATTTCTTTTCAGCAGTGTCTTATATGACAAATGCAAAGGATTAATTACCATTTATGAACAATAAGCTTCATTTGATATCCCCACAGCCCTATCAAGAATCAACCTGTGTAACAATAAACGAATGTACTGCCTTGTGTTAGCATACACATGGGAGCAAGTCACGTTATAGCTCTCTGCTTTACAGGAAAAACAAACAGGATTTTAAAATAAGAAAATAGTATTCTTATAAATACTAACCTGTATTTCATCAGACTCTCTGGCATAATTTTGGGGTCGCATTTTGCTTAGTTTATTAAATATGCTGTAGGAAATACAATCATAAGAAGGGGAAAAAGAGAAAAGACATCAAGGAAGCCCAGTGACATACTGAGGTCCAATTTAAGAGGTAGAGGGCACACTCTCTCTGTGGAAAAGCAATGGAAATCTTCATTAATGCTACTGAGATTTGCTGCGTGGTAGTAAAGTGTGCTTTGATGCATAAGACCAGCCTGTTGAAACAGATTGTAAAAAGCCCAGGCAAGGTGACAGTGTTTTGAGTGTCAGTGAAACTGTGGGCAGCTGCAGAAGCAGCACAATTCTTATGTGAGGTCCATGCAAGGCGCTGACGGGCTGAGCAGCCCCTTCATGGGCTCTGTGCGGCAAAACAGTCTCCCAGGGACCACAACTAGGACAAGTACGAATCTGACTAAATGACCACTGACCCACCAAACTGAAAATCTTTTGGAACTTCGCTGTGCAAGAGGACAGATTGGTGGCATTAAAAAATTCAGCTGCCATTCTATTCATGCAGACAGCCTCAAGATCACAGCAAATCCTGCTTGTCCATAGGATGAACGTTGCAGACAGAAGGAAGAAAACACCTCCAAAGAGGAGGCTTCAAGAAAGTAATGAGAGAAACCAAGAAAATGCCGGCCTTAAGTAGCACTGACTGCAGTAAATACCACAGAGTCTGCCTGGGACCATTCTCCTGGCCACAACAATCCTACCTGGGAGTATGTAACTTCAGAATATACCGACATGCAAATTCAGAACCGAGTTAATTCTGTAGATGCTCCTCCTGCCACAATAGCACCTCAGAGACTGATCTCAAGCTCAAGACAAAAGATGTCCCAGCTCCTCCATAGGAACATCACTAACAGATCGGTATGCCCCCTGCTACAGGCACTGAGATGTCAGAGCACCTTGCCCAGGAAACTGGTGTTTGCCATTCTATTTTATATATTAGAAAATGCAGCAGAGGGAGAAAAGTCAATTGCCTGAGGCTGCTCAGCAAGCTAATGGCCATGAGAGGGCTGGAAGTGAGTTAATCAGACACTGAGTTAATTGCCACATTTATTCACCTTTTCCGGATGGAAGTGGTCTGTTGAACACTGGTTTTGTACAGTGCCAGAGCGTTATTTGCTTGCAGAGTTAATCTCAAAAAAGCCTCTTGCCCCATCAGAGAAATCATGTTGGAGTTTCAAAGGCTCTTCCAGCCATTTGGGTAGGATTCACTGTGCTTATCAGAATGAAGAGCAAAGCCAGGATAACTGGCCGTCCTCATGTGTCAGCTTTTGGTGGATGAGCCTGGGATATGCACCAGCCTGCCAGAAGAGAAGTTGGCAGGTTTTCCCCCACTATTAGCACTGATCTGATTTTGTTAATCAAAACAGAACAAATCTAACAGACTTGCTGCAAATATAACACGACTTTTCAAACAGTTCCTGTGTTAGGTATTAGCAAATGCCAATCAGCCCTTCAAACACTCTTATTTACCAGAAGGTCTGGGCTGTTCTGGTGGCCAACACAGTGCTCCTCAGGGCAAGTCTCAGCACAATGCAGGAGCTTTAGAAACAAATTAAGCAATCAGGGCAATCTTGTACCACGTTGAAGTAATCCTTGCCTAGCATTTCTGCCTGTATTACTACAGCTTCAGTGGTGGTTAAGATTACTAACAATACAATAGAATAATGCTATACAATAACTAAAAAAAAAATCTAAGTATTAGTAAAAAAATAACAGTATTTTTTTATGTTGCAGTAGCACCTAGAGGACAGTCCTTTATCACTGTGTATGCTGATGTATATCCACAAAAAATGATTACTTTTTTT